AACTAAAACTGATTTCTGTGTTATCGTGAAGTCTTTGGGGAAATTTAGATTATTCGGGTTTGAATCTTTGAATTTATCACTTCATAATAAGTATAAAAGTCTTATTTTTTGGAAGCAACTTTTTTCGTAGTTTCAAGTGATAGTACACGGAGTCTATAATAATTTACCGTATGTCTTTGATTGTTAGTATTAATTTTCTCGTTCACATAAAGGTATGTGGAATGTTTTGGCATGTATTACGTATGGTCTTGGTATGTACTGTACTTGTATTATTCCTGGTATATGTACAGCTTGTTACATGTTATCTAATGCATTTTAAAAGTTCAAACTGGTTCAGAAACATGCAGCTTTCTAAACGTTGCAATCAGCGTGCAATGCATTGAGATGGGAGGAATGGAATGGTGTTGGGTTACTCGTTGAGATCTGTGGACATGAATACGCTGCTACCCACTTTTAACAATAGATAACATTGTAGAAGTATATAGAGCAGTAAATGCTAAGTCTAGATTTCAGCTAGCCGATTATTCTTCACAAAGTATACTTTCAAAAGTTTGGTCTGATTATCGATCCCATTTCACTATAAGTCTCGGGATGGGCGGTGTTGACCAAAGTGTAACAACCAATCAGTTTTAGACACGAGTATAGCTGACGTGGCATTGCGAGACACATTCGTGGACTGTTGCAAGTGGCATGGTTGTCTGGGATTTGGTCGTGGGGTTGCTATTTGGAGTTTATTTGCCTGAGAAGTGCTTCTTCGTAAGGTTCACGTAAAGTACACGTGTGACACAGGTAAGGTAGTTGTCCGTTTAAGTCTTTTTCTACTTAAAGACCCAATGTTTTTGATTGCCGCATCTTTATCAAAAATAAGCAATTTTAAACATGAGATCGTGCTCGTGCTGAAATAAGAATTGTTTCATGAACTATATCATTTTAGTACTAAGTAAATTAAGTGTTGATCGGTTTTAGAGCATACCTGGTGGATTCTGATTCACTGTGTTGGAGGATATAGCAAATAACGCAATGTCACTATATATATTACAATCACCGGTGGGAACAGTTCCAAATTATCTATCACTAGCAAGGGATCGACGCTCAGCAACCGCAATTTTACCGCGGTATGCACCAGGTAGAATGCAAATAATGGTACAGCGATCCACGAAACCACCAATTCAGAAGATTATGTGCCAACCCGAGAATCGTACTAAATCACAGTGTTCAATTGAAGAATTGTTGGGTTTGTCTTCACCTCTATCACAAACGGTAAGAAAACGTGAGCGCTTAACCCACTTAACACCAGAAGAAAAGCAGTATCGGCGTAAAATGAAAAATCGAGTTGCTGCACAAACCGCACGTGATCGCAAGAAATTTCGTACAAACCAACTTGAAGAGGCTCTTCGAAGGCTTCATCAAGATAATATGAAGTTACGTGAAGAAAATAAATCTTTGAAAATGACATGTGAAGATTTAAAAAGCGAAAATATATGTTTGCGTGATCTGGTAGAAAGCAAAGTGAAGTCGGAATTGCGCTCGGAAGCTGAAATAAGTAGCAGTTGTAGTAAAACTTCATCATCGTCTTTTGGATCTGCTGAATCCATTTGCGCTCCCCAGCAGAGGGATCAGGCGATGATGATGTTACTACAGATATTAATAATTTTCTCTCTGGCGATGAAATGCAGGAAATTATCCGAGAGATCTGTACAGAAGATGAAATATGTCCATCATCAAATTCTTGCCCGAATAAAGCGGCAGAAGACTTCGAGCAATTTTTCGCAAAAATACTTGACGAAATTGATGGCCATGTCACTCCACCGAAATCCACGGAAGGCAGCCGAACGTCTCGAATGGATTGCGCGACACCGAATATCATTATAGCTCCAGAATATCTAAAAAGGGACCCGGATTCAGAGCCTTCATCTCCTACACCTACGTTGGATTCTACCATGGACTGTATTAATTACGATCAGGCATCATTTCACAGAAATGTAAAGATACCAGATGACGATAATGACAGCCCCGGTCCATTGGTGTTCACTGAAGAGCATTCATTTCTGTCTCCAGTTTCGTCCCCTTCTTTGTCTGAATCACTCGAAGATTACCACTCAGAAAATGCTTACCATTTCTCACCCTTTACTGGCAGCACAGACCCAATGTTTTGTTCGCCTCAGAATTGGGATATTGACTACGACTGAGTGCTGTATGTATATCAGGAAAATTGTTAAAAGGCAAAGTCTGAACGTTCGTGAAGGGAACACTTTTGATGCAGGTTTTGCAGATAAGCAGAAGAAATCTTTTTTGCTGTTATTCATGTACTTTTGTCTATATTGTATGAAAGGTGATTGATAAAGGTGCAAAACTTTTTTAATTGCTTCTTTTTTTAGAATCTGTCTTCCCTCCCCTGGAAAATTTCGTTCTAGAACCAAGTTTCTCTTTTAACTGTTTTATAACTGTGATAATTTACGTGGTAACATGCTCTAGACATTAATTAATATATTTATATACAACATATGCATGGAATGGTATTTCTTGTTTCTCTGTATTTATGTGTGGATACTGATTATTTTATGCTCCATCTACGCAACATATCAAAAGAATAACAATTTTTATTTGCAGTTATGCTCATTTTTCTAGTAGTTGAAGATTTTAAATACTGACTGTGATACCTGAATTATATTATATCAGGAGGTTGGAAGAAATGATTCCAAAAGAGAAGTACAAGATGCATAAGCAGTCACTAAAATACAAACACTGTACCCAAATTATTAAGTTAAAGAACTAATTCGTGAGTGCGCTCATATCTTCTTCATTATCCGACATTTCTTCATCTTCCAGTTCATGTAGTGGAAATCTTAAGATGGCTGCCACTCCACTCAACGCACTTAGCTGTTCACCAGAGACATGCATTGATGAAAAAATCAAAACAGTGACACCCTGAAAAATTCGTGTTATTACAAGAACAAGTTTCTTTTCTTTGTGCAAGCATAAGGCATATTTCCGTAAAAATTAAGATGGGCTTAAAATGTTTAATTTCATTAAACGCTAGCAACCGAAACTTGCCTGTGCTTTTACAGAGTCGACAAGTTCGACAAATTTTTTCCTTAACTGAATGTCATTGGACCTGAATAACGAGTCGGATAACATTAATGTATCAATGGCCGAGTGTTCATTGGCCATTTTTACATGCTTATAGCCATAAAAGGCTCGAGCGGCATCAGTTGCCATTAACTCGTAGAACATGTTAAGTGCCTTGACCTCACTCTGGGCCTGCAATAGCAGTTTGTCAGTCATGGGGTTTACACTGCGAACCAAATTGTAAGTGCCAGAAGTTTTTGAACCTTCAGAACAACAGAATCAAATGAAGATATTACAATTCTTCGGTATAGAAGGGGTATATTTACTTTGGTATCTGCGAGGCGAGCAGCTACACAAGGGTCTAGAAGTACTTCTTTGAGAGCATGTTTGAAGCCACTGCTGGCATGAGCAAGTAAGAATTTACTCCGACTTTCTAGAATTATCTTGTTTCCGTGTTTATCAGCATAATCCATGAGATAATTTAGGAACTGCTCATTGAGGAAACCACGACTTGCAATTAACACGCATTTCACCACCTCAAATATAGAATGACATAATCAGAAAAAAGGATTGGACAAGAAGATATTTATTCAATAAGAAAAAGAAAAAGAACTGAGATGGTTG